GGATCTGGGTTGAACAGAGCCTCATGTGAGAGCACTTTCCAGTTATTCAGAAATGGCGACTTTCCCTCAGGAGTCCTTCAACATTTACCTCAGGGACTTGGCAATAGTAGTCTCTGAGGTGAGGGAGCTTTTTCCTTGAATTTTATGAAATTGGTTTTGCCAATGAAGTCATCACCCTATGTGGTTGAATATATTTCCACAAATTTACAAACTCTTCTTTTCAAAACCTTTTTTTTTTGAAAAATTTCAAATGTACAGAAAAGTCAGAAGAATGACCAGTGAAGGCGTGATCATTTCCCTGTGACAGGGCCTGTGGCCTACGGCCCTGGGCCAGTCCAGCCCGGTGGCTGCTTTGTAAATGAGGCCATGGCGGTGTGGACACTCCCATCTATCCTGTGCTGTCCGGCTGCAAAACAGAGGCCACCACTGGCCCACAAAACTGTATTTACCCTCTGGCTCTTTACAGAAGAAGTTTGCCAGTCCCCGATCTAGCTTCACCAGTTGTCGATATTCTGCTGTATTTCCTGGGTCTCTTTCTTCATGACAGGCCAGCACATCCATTCCCTCTCTCCGTCTCTGTTTCTCTCTCCCTTTTGCTCAAAATCACATTTTTGCCCCTGAACCATTTGAAATTATAGACATTGTGATAACTCATCCCTAATAACTAACGTGTCTCCTTAACAATAAAGGCACTCTTTCATGTAACCACAATCTCATCATCGTCATGTATAAGAAAATTAACATTCATTCGATAATGTTATCCAACATGTTACAGTAACTGGAAAAGTTCATGCTACATCTTACATTTAAATATATTTACATTTAGGTACGTACATGTTACATTTAAATATGGGCTATTTAATTTCGACTTTTATAGCCTTATTTACTTTTCTTTTTTGCATCAAGGATCTAATCCAACCAAACATAGATCACATTTGGTCATCACGTCTCTCTAATCTCCAGTTTTGCTTTTTCATGGCTTTTACTTTTTTGAAGAGTCTTAAAGAACTTCTTTGGAAGCCCCACAAAATCACGACAGGTTTGTATACTACATTAATAAGAGCTGACTGTAGTGCTCCTTGTCATAAATCAGTGTCTTCCACTTCTCCCTTGGAATTGGGATGCTGTTGTACTGCCTGGCTTTTGAGGCTAAAACACTACTATGTGAGTTTTGCTTGGAATTATAAGTGTGGAAAAAACTCAGTATGAAGAGCAAGGCAGATGGGAATTTGCAAGTTGCACTTTATGTAATTAAAGGTACAGTCCTTCCTGCCCACACTGGTGGCTGCCCCTGTTAGCTCTTGGCTGGAGGGTTCTTCCTTCTGGCTTTTCTCCTGACTGGGGTCTGGCTCCCCTCCAGCATCATTAGGTTGCAGCAAGGAGCTGGAAGGAGACCTGCAGTTATTTAAATCTCCCAGCCCAAATTGTTCAGCCCGGCTGGTAACACAGCGCTTTTGTGTTTGCAGTCTGTGTGCTGAACACAGCATAGAGCTCAGACACGCATCTGGGCTTCTGGGAATCTGGGTGTGCATAAAAAAGCAGGCCTCCTTGTCCTTCCTGAGAATCCGAGGTGCCCAGTCATGTGCTTCTTGCGGGACAAGATGGCAGTTACAGGCCTGGTCCTCTCATTGTGGTCCCAAATGATTCCTAGAGAGTACCAGGACACAGCCTTTGTTTTCTGCTAGGCAGGAAGCCCTCAGAGATCACCAGGCCAACCAGAAATATAGTTGCATGCCCTGGAAAAACTTACCTAAACATCTATAAACCTCTGGAGATGGGAGGGAACATAAAAAACTCCAAGGAGAAATTTGACAATTTTAAAATGTGTGAAGTAATTGAAGGAGAGATGGCCAGGGTGTAGATGACTTCTGACTATGACTGGCTTATTGTTGGTCTACAAGAGCACAGGTTTTGTGAATGATGGCATATCTCACCTGTTGAAAAAGTCTAGGGACACAGGAGAGAACACACTCTGAGAAGGGCTATGGGGTGGACAGTGAGATTGTAGTATCATTGGTGTCCCTGTCTGCTATCTCGTTCCTCTTAAATCCTTCCTCCACCCTGTCTACCACCCCATAGGTCTGCCCTCAGCCTTCTTCTTCTGCTGCAGATCTGAGCATTGGTTTTCAGATCGCAGCCCCTCTGTGACTTGCACAGCCTCCCTTCCATGGCCTTCAAGGCCCTCTGCGAGCAGCCCCTAACTCCATAGCATCATCTTCCTTTGGTGCTGACCTCAGATTTGATGCTCAAGCTCCTCATCTATGCCACGTGTTTTGCATCCTCATCCTTTTCTGGCTGTGTGACCTTGGACAAGGTGCTTAATTGTTCTGTGCCTCAGACTGCTCGTCTATAAATGAGGATGAAATTAGTACCTACCTCACTAGGTTGTGCAGGGGTTAATGAGTTAGTAGTTGTAGAGCTCTTGGAAGCATGCTTAGCATATAAAAAAGGCTAAATAAATGTTAAATGTTAACAGTTTATTGCTATTGTTTGTGTTGTTTTGAGCCTGTTTTTTTTAAATTGGTGAATAGAAAATTACTATAAATGTCACACCCGTTGAAATCAATACCTATTTATTATCTTTTTTTCTGCAGTCAGAAGTAAAAACGTGGTTCTTTGCTCAGGATCTCACTGGGATGAAATCATGGTATTGGCAGGAACTGAGGTCCCATTTGAGCTTTGTCCAAACCTCTTCCAGGCTTGTGAGGTTCTTGACAGAATGCAACAACCTCCGTACATCTTTAGAACTCATGGCCCCCAGGAACTCTGAGTTTGCCTTGTTTAAAAGTTCCCCTGGTTAGGTCAGACCCAATTTGATCATCTTTCTTTTGATTGACTCAAAGCCAGCTGGTTAGTAACATGACCACAGAGGGATATCCCCTCACATTCATGGTTCTACTGGCACTCAAGGGGAGGGATTATACAGGGTGTATGCACCAGGGGGTGGAATTCTTGGGGGTCATCTTAGAATCCTGCCTACACACTGGATACTTGGGAAGAACTCCGTTTGCTCTTCCCTTTGTTGAGTTGCACTCAGGTGAATACATGATTCGGTAACCACCATCGTCATTGCAGATTTTTGTAGCATCTTTCTTAGAGTATTCAGGTGGATTCACACTGATACTGCTTCTGGAGCCAATTTTTTATCATTCCTCTCCTGTAACTTTCACTAATTGATAGGATCAGCTAGCTCGTCAGAAGTCTTTTAAGAAGAGGACAGAGACCTGTGACTGATGAACTGTTAGCAAAACAAGTCCCCACTCCCCCAGGGTCTTTCTGTTCTAGGTACATCTTTGCCTGCTGCCGATATGAACTGTGGCTCTCAATGCCAGAGTTTGGTAAAAAGGAAAGGAACTATTTATTCAAAAGTTATACAGGTTCAGAGTAACAGCAGATGTCACTGTTAAAATCCCAAAGTCCCTTTAAAACACACACACACACACACACACACACAGTCCTGCCTTCCCCCCTTTGCCCAACCAGTCCAGTCAAAGGTACCGTATTTCAGGAAAAAGAAATAGAGGTCCATAGCTCAGCTAGACTCCCAGTCCCCCCCCCAGTAATCTGTGCTCAGCTGGGTAGGTCTCCCACAGTCCCCAGCACCATCAGCTGTGTTGCCAGGATCTCCAGTTCTGAATGCAAAACTATGTGGTAACTTCTCATGGCCCACCAATGAGATTCCTTTCAACCCTTTCCTTCCCATGGTCTCTTATTGTCCTTCTTATTGTAATCTCCGTCCCACATGTCAGCCCACCCTTTGTTTAAATCCCAGTTTGGAACCTCCTCTGTAACCCCATTTCCAACTCCTCCCACTGTTGGCTATACCTGCCAGCCCATATTTTCGGCCTTTTTTGGCTGCCGTAGGTAATCTGGGCAGACGTGGCCCCGTGGCATGGAGCAAACCATCTCCAAGCTATCACACAGGTGCCGTAACCAGGGGGAGCTGCCTCCTAGTTACATCACCATCAAAGTTTTACATACTTACTTTCTGGTTCCATTCAGGCTGGAAGATCAGTCTGCTGTTATTGATATGCAAAATAACTATTTTTTCATATCAGGTATGAGGCTGGCCTGCAAAGTAACTCTCAATGGCCCTGTTTAGTGTCTTCCTTACTGCAGCCAAGCCTATTATCCTATCTTCCCAGATATCCCAAGTTCTGGAGCCCACTACAAATCCCCCCTTTGCAGAGCTTTGGGGCCTTCCAGCCTACACTTTGTTACAGAACCTGCTGCTAACACCCAGGAGTTCTGATGGGATGGCCCACAGTCGCAGTCCCTTCCAGAGCCATTTGTTTATTTTTCATGACTTCCAACAGATGAAGACCAGAACCCTCCCTAACTGTCCATTGTGCCTGCCCCTCTGCCAGCTCAAAGTACATTTGTGCCTCCTACAGGAAGTTTGCACTGTGAGAAGGCTCTTTTGCATTATTTTCAAAAGTTTTCCACATTCTTTTTCCCCTTTCCAATTAAGTCTAGATTTTTCCCATTTAATTCAGTTCCTTATCCACAAAAAGGTATTATCAGTGAAAACCCACTGATAATGAATGTATTTTAGATGATCAATTAAAAAATTATTGAAGATGAACACTCAGGTAGTAAAACCAGTTTTTTATATAAATTTTGAACCAGATTCTAGGTAGTAAGACATGGACAAAAGTTTACAATAGGGAATATCTGGGTTGGGAGGATCATTCCCTTCAAAGATGCTAAGGTTTGCTTTCAATGACATTTTACTTGCAATTTTACAACAATGTGTTACGGTAAAGGAAAAAATGAATTTGGTGTGGCTGTTGGTTTAGAAGTTTGAAGCGTCTTTTTCCTCCAGCATATCCTAACAAAGTATGTCTTTTTTTAATTCAACAAACCATGGTTTAGACCTGACTCTTGCTGCTTTACTGACTGATATCCCTCAGTGATTTGGACTATTAAAGAGAAGGGGCTGGTGGTTCATAAAGACAATGTAAAATAATACAGACCTGGATTTCTTTTCTTCCTTCCAGGACAATATCATCCTATTCTTGAGAGGTTGTAAAGAGCTCGGCCTTAAAGAATCTCAACTTTTTGACCCTAGTGACCTACAAGATACATCCAACAGAGTAACAGTCAAGTAAGTGACTCACGATTGATGTTTAAGGGAAACCCATTTATGGTTTGATTTGCAGTTTTGTGATGATGTTTTAAGGTTTAAGAGACAGACAGTTGGGCATGCCTAATAAGTAAAAACGTGAAGGTAAAAAGTCAAGCTTTCAAACTAAGACACACTGACCTTCCCTCTGTGTATAGCTTTCATTCTGATCAAATAGAAGCTTTTGAAATGGAAACATCACTCCTCTAAAGATCAAATATTGAAGAGAAGGAGAAAAATGTTAGGTGAAACTTGAAGGAGGGAGAGGCGAGAGAGAAATATGCACAGAATCTGTGTGTATTGGACAAAAAGCTTTTATCGGCTCCATTTGGGCATCTGAATGGGCTCTTGGAAGACTGTGAACTCGGTAAACAGATCTGAACTCTGTTTATTATGCAAAGAGAGCAATAGATTATGGAGAAATCTCTTCTTCATTTGCATTTGTAACTGTTTTCTCCTGTGTGTCAGTGATCAAGTTCTTTGAAGATGGGTCATTGGCCAGTTGGCTGTTGTTGACTGTATCTACTCAGTGAGCCACATTTGGGGCCAAAGAATTCTAGGGAAAGAATGTCAAAGTAAAAGAGACAGCAATGTGCTTCTCTGTGAAGAAATAGATCATGACTAGAGTAATGAGAAAAAAGTCCTTATGAGACTGTAGAAATAATTTTCCTATAGTTTAGAAGTCCTTTGGACTCTACAAATTTCATATAGAACATGTTCACTTTAGTCAAATAATATTTGGCACAAATACACTTTAGTAATAAGCTTAATTACATGGACAGGATCTGTGGATTAGCTATACTTCTTTTGATCATTTTTGGATTATTTTATCATAGAAAAACAGAAAAGGGAGAGAAGCCAAAAATCAGAGCTGTTAATTTTATGTTATTTGACAATACTGATTTTTTTAAATGATCAAGAAAAATGCAAACTACTGAATGAAATTGAGTTAGGAGTTTATATTGGATTTTATGATTTGTGACTGGCTATGAGAGAACCAGCTGTGATCAGTTATACAAAATTACTTCTCTGTTGTTAGTGTACCATTCCTTAATATTTCTCATGGAAAAATGTTAGTTAAGGGCAAAACTAACAACAAAAATTATGATATTTGAATATGGAAACCACCATTAACCTCATTTTAGTCATCACATGCTCCATTTATTGTTGTACACAGCTTCCATAAATTTTGCTTATTTTAGGAAATTGTTTCAGGTTCTGCCTCATCTCACATTTATAGTTCCACCTGGTGGCAAGTGACCAGAAACAATAGTAACTAGTAACTGCGCAACGTCATAATCATTAGTCATATATACATTGCTTGGAAAGTGGGAAAAATTCACTTTGACACATTTATTTGCTTTCTAGAGCTACTTTAAATTGGTATGTTACCAAACCAGGAGAACGCTGAGATTGGTTTTAGACATTCAGAACTCTTAGCACCTTTCTTACTTATTTACAAAAAACTGGGTATCAGGAAGCTGGGGGTCTAGCCTTCCTGTATCTTTCTAGGCCTGTCATCCAAAGGGAAGCTAAAACTTGCTCAGTGCAGATCTGAGAAGACGATTCTCAACCAATATGTGAAACAAGAGTCTTTAATTCAAAGGCACAGAAAGCAACCTAAAGGGCAAGCGTCACGTAGACCTGGGGCACACAGACACGGTCACTTCTCAGTTTCCATGCACCTCTCCCTCCTCCTATTCTTTTCTGCCCTTTATCTTCCTCTTTTTGCTTCCTTTTCTCATCTCCTCCTCTTCTCTGTGCTCCCCTTTCCTTCTTTATCTTGTTTTTCTATCTTCCCTTTTGCATTTCTTCTCCTCATTTTCTTGCCGTTTCAATTTGTCCTTCACTTGAGCAATAATATTCTCTCTAGGCAATACTTTTCCATCATTTCCCCCTATGACACTCTCATTTTCCATTCATTCATTCAACAAATATTTATTGAGTAGCTATCTACTCTATGTCAGACACTTTCCAGGCCCCAGAGAACCAGAACAGTCAAGAGAGCCAATGCCTCCTGTTCACGTGGAATTCACACCCTGTGTCAACACATGAGAAATAACTAAATACAAAAGGAATTGTAGGGAGTGGTAAGTGCTGAGAAGTAAACATAGATGGTGTGAAAGATAGTGACTATCATACTAATGGATATATCAAATCATTAGGTTGTAAACTTTAAACGTGTACAATGTTATATGTCGATTGTGTCTCAATAAAACTGAACAAAAAGAGGATAGCGACCAGTCCAGAGGTGGTCAAGAGTGGCCACTCTGAAGAGGCGGCATGTCAGCTGAGGGCTGAGACATGAATGGGAAGCAAGAGCCAGCCATGCAGAGATCTGTAAGGCATGGAGTGCGGAGGAAGACCATGTAGAAATCTGGGGAAGAGAAATTAACATGATATTTAAAAAGAAAAGTAGCCAGTGTGGTAGAAGCGTAATGAACAGGGACCAATGTGGTGGGAAGGGCAGTCCCCAAGCATGGGAGGATGTTGAACTTGAACTAATTATTGAGAAAAAACTTTATTTCACTGTAGGAATATTTAGAACATAAATAATTTTATATTAAAATTATGCCATAAATTTATTACAGTACTTAGAATATTGCTTCTGGTTTTAGCGAGAGTGGGCACAGATGGGCTTTCTGCTTACAACATTTCCGTGAACGGTGCTGGTTAGTTTGGCACTGTGCATGCGACATTCGGACCATACATACGGTTTACAGCTTTTGTAGATCAAAGTGGAACTGCTGTATGTCTCTGCTTTTTCCTCTGAGAGTTGAGCAGAACACTATTAGAGCTGGAGAACACCCCACCGATATCAATTAATACCATAAGCAATAAGTTATAGGGCTAGATCTTACAGAAAAAAATGTTGATGCTTTTTTAAATTAAAAAAAAACACTCATTAGTTTAGCTTTCATTGGAAGTAATTTTTCTTACATTTTTTTCAGCAGTAACTTGAGTAGGCTAAAAAGGGAAAACCTGCAAATGATTACTGCATGTGTAATTTAGTGAGCTCTACCCCGTAATGGATGCCAGACACCCTCGATGGGGCATAAAAGCACAGTCAGAGGCCACGTGGCAAGTATCCTTCCAGGGATTGAAACAATTGGATGAAAATGAGCCCAGGCTTTGAATTGCTCCTGAGCATTTCTCTGAAAAATTTGGAAGTATTTTCACTTAATTGATTGCTGTGTGGAAGTCATTCAACGGATATTTTGTGAGCTCCTACTATGTGCCAAAGATGATTTTTTTTAGAAGTGGGTCATAGTTTTAATCAATGAATTTTTATTGTCAACACAGAAAAAGTTTTGCGTGCCCTGTTTTTAACTTGTTTTTTTAATAACAATTTTGAATCTTTTATAGATTTTTAATTTTTATCTGTTTTTGTTAAATTTTTAAAAAATCCTAGCCAGTATCTAATGACATATCATTTTTTTTTTCTGTTAAAAGCAGAGAACATGAAAATATTCCCTTACTCTAATCAAATTGGACCAGTGGGTTTATCTTAGAATGTACTACATTGTTTTCTATTTCCTCAAACGTAAACTGACTTAAAATTGTGCACCTATTCATTGATATGTACTTTGGATCAGAATATGCAGCAAGGAAGTAGTGGGGGTCTAAAAACTTGAAGGAATCTTAACTGCTTATGAAGTAGTTTGCCTTCTCCCTCCTGTCTCCCCACCTGAAGTTACTGTGAAAACACACACACACAATATCTGTTTTTCCTAGAATCTATTTGTTGACATGTTGAAGGAACTTTGGAATCATTTTGGAGAAATTTTTATATCTCACTGTATGAATATTTAGAAAGTGCCACCAACTAACTTATTTGTTTATAGTTTGAGAATAAATATTTATGTATATAAGAATGCACATGTGTATATTCCAACATAACATGCATACTTTCTTACTTATAGCTAATTCCAAACACAAATTTATGTCCATAACAGAAAAGGACAAATATTTGGGTAGCATTTCCTCTTATATGTATCTTTTCAAGACTATTTAATTAAGGTTTTAGATCTTTATTTAAAAAAGGTTCATGGGTTCATTCCCCCCTCAGGGCACATGCCCAGGTTGCAGGTTTGGCCCCAGGTCTGGGGGGTATATGAGAAGGTAAACCAATCAGCGTTTCTCTCACATGGTAGTCTCTGTCTCTCTCCCCCTCCCTCTCTCTCTGAAGTAATGAAAACAGTGTCCTCGGACGAGGATATATAGTACTTGTATGAAAAATATTTGTGCAATCAGATTTTCATTTGACAGTGGTTTATAATTAAGGCAGAATTTTACTTTAACAGTTAAACTTTGAGAATACAAACATAAACAGTCTTAGTTTTAAGTGGAATTCTTCATTTTCCAGATGTTATGGAGCACTCCACTTTTCATGGTGCGTGATGGACCTTTAAGCCCACTTTGCGTTGTCTAAATCATTTTACTTAGAACCTAAAATAATAATGATAAGACTTAAAAATATTATATTTTCCTGGTTTCATTATACTAGTTGACTTCAAGTACACCCTAGAAGTGTTTAAGGCAAGAGCAGAGTGAAGAAACTGCTGTTCTGATCATATTTTCTTTTCCTTTCCCTTAATTAGGAGCATTGATTATAGTAGGAAGCTGAAAAATGTAAGTGTTTTTGACTTTGATTTCCAAGCTTATTCTTTCTGACTTTGATGGTTCAAGTGTAAAATTTAGTCCATACATTCAGTGCCTCTTGTATGTCTTGCTAGAAAGAGTTCTAGAAAGCTAGTATATGTGTCTCTGATAGAATAATTAATGACTATAATAGAAACAAAAATGGTAGATTGGGGGTCTCTCTAATTAAATAAGTTCTCAATCCAGAAATAAACAGATAAAAGCCTGTGCCACGTTGCTGTTTAGTGTCTTAAATACAAAGTGATTTCTCAGCGCCGTTGAAAGTTGCTTTCCCGTGGCAGGCGCATTTGGGAAGATTAAATTAAGGAGTTGGGCCAGTTGTTTCAGGGAAAGATCAGCACGCTAGGAATAGTGTCAACTGTCGTGGGTTTGTACTTTTTTTTCCCTATTAATCTTTTGAGGTTTTTATAAGTACTTCCCAAAATCAACTTTCTGGAGTTAGATCTTATTTTCAAAAGGCAAGCATATTACTGCTCTTTAATTTAAAGGTTAAATAGAGGGATGTGAGAAATTATTGTCTACATATAAAATAGAAAAATTAGCTGTGACCCCCCCTTTTTAAATGTCTAGGGTGCTATTATATTTGATTGCCAGTCTCGTTCTTCTTTTTCTTCCTCTGTAAAACTAGTGCTTTATGCCATTTTTCATCACACAGTTTGAAACAAATCGGAGGCCCTATCATCTAAAACTGAGCACAATGGTGTTTTCCCTTCCCTATTACACTTGTCAGGATAGCCTCATGCTCCCTTAGTACACATCAGTTCTTTGATGGTCCTGGTTGATGTCCTGACATTCGCAGTTGTCTGTTCTCTGGGAGGTTATTTTTAAGCAATAGGTTAAAAAATAAAAAATAAAAAGACTTTCTGGAAGTTTTCAGGGCTTCCTGAAGTAAAATTTTCCCTCAGAGGTAGAAAACCAAATCACACCAGAGCCTTGATGGCATGTAACCATATCTGGGGCCTGTTGCCATCTGAACTCACGTTCACATAACATTTTCCGAAGCACTGTCTGGCCTAGCATGTGAAGAGAGGTTCAGTGAGTACTTCCCACCCTGGCTGAAGCAATAGAAACGTATGGGAAAATAAAATAATAGTCTTAGCTTTTCCATAAGCTTCAGATCCCAATCATTCAGTGTTAGGGACTCGTCTTCAGCCAACCCCTACTGGGTTGTATGGGAACATTGGTGTAAGGAGCATGTGCATTTGTGAACAGTTTCTTTGGAAAGACAGAACAAAGTATCATAGGACTGTGGCTTCAGACCCCTGAATACTCAGACTTTCTTAAACACATTAGATGTCTATGACTATTAAGATAGTTTAATTGGCAGTAGCCTTGTCCAGGCTCAATAATTCCCTTCTGAGATTTATGGGAGTCCACCTGTAGTCCAACACTAGATACCTGCACATCCTATTCTTCGTTACATCGTGTTCTTCAGACTTTAGTTAAATACATTGTGTTGATCCTGTGCTGGAAACCACTCATTAACCTTTATCACTTCATTGGGATGGTTGCCATTGGTCTTAGCAGAGCCTCAGGGCCCACAAGTAGCCACTGTAGGCCTTCGAAGGCACCTCTCTAAATAGGAATCGCCAACCTATTTATTACTTGTCTAGGTAAAGACTCCAGAGTTTTTCGCTTCCTAATTTTGAATATTTGACTATTTCATTATACAAAAATAATTGTAGAGGATTTGTTTTTCCTTGTTGCTATCTTATAGATGAACTGTTCCTTACACTGGGGTTGTGACTGGGGTTTAACTACTGAATTATGATTGTGTTGACAGACAGCATTGGGTTCCTGTTAAAATGATTTTACATGTAACGGATACCTCATAAGTGATAGTTTTGTAAATCAGGACTGCACGTACCTTCCTGCTTCCCTGTTAGTGGACCATTATTGATTCCTTAGTTTAAAAGTCATTCTTGAGGGCAAATTCTCCCAATCTTGTGCATGGTTTTATTTCACAGGTATTAGTTACCATTTACTGGCTGGGAAAGGCAGCGAATAGCTGTGCGTCCTATAGCGGAGCGACACTGAACCTGAAGGAGTTCGAAGGCTTGCTGGCTCAGATGAGAAAGGTAACTTGGCTTTTCTTTCTTATCCCAGGAGGTTTAGAAAAGGTGGGAAAGCAACCCAATGGCTTGTTTTTAAGTTTTAGTTCATTTTAGTTCTGCATGATGGAATCAATCAGACCAAACATGTCACGTCACTTAAGGAAATGACCACTTGCCTCACCGATGACATCTTGGCCTCTTGCTTTCTACCCTTACCTGAACTTGTATACCCTTCGGAGGATGGGAGATCTGAGCTCATCCAACTGTAATTCCATAAGAGCAAACTCAGTCCATCAGCATATGGCTTTGTGTGCCAGAGAGCTCAGTGCTTGTTTGCTCATGGGAATAAAGCCTGATTTAAACAATACAGCACTATACAAAAATGAAGACTTGCTCTGCACTTTTGTCCTAAAGGTCATTTTGCTTACCCGTCAGGGCCTTGGTGTGGGTGAGGTAACGTCAGCCAACTTCTTGCCTGGGCATCCGCCCTGGACAGGCTCTGACAATTAGATGCATTCTCTTTTCAGATATGCCTTTCATGGCCATTGCATTTGAATGAGCTGGAAATTTTGTAAAAATTTTTTCACAATATTTAGTTTTGTTTATTTGATTACGGGAAAGACCTATGGTAGGGATTTGTCCAGGAAACAGCGGCACGTTTTTTGTGTGCCTGCTTGTGTGTCCCCTTTTAAGGTTCAGAAGTATAGATTAACTCATTCAAAGTACTAGGGTATAGTGTTACTCAAGAGAAGCCCCGCCCGCCAGCCTCAGTGAACAGGTTCATTTGTAATCGAGAGCATTCCTGGGTTTTGAACAAGGCGTACATTGTGGCCCCAATCAATTAAGGCCTAGCTTTTCTTTTCTCTCGAACATGCAAACTAAAGGCACTAATGAGACCTCACCGAGAGACATTCCTTGCTTTAAAATTTTTCTTTTAGTACTGAAAGCAAGAATTTGCTCCAACTTTCTAATAATTTTTAGCCTTTTTTTCCTTGAATTCAAGCTAATAGCCCTTACTGTTCTTCTCATATGCCTTGAGGTAGTCTGGCTCACATTTGTATAAATGGACAAAAATTTCAATATCAGTTGTAATACATTTAAACAAAGTTTTAAACCTAAATTCTTTTTTAAAAAATAAGACAAATGTACCCACTCCATTAAGCACAACATATTGTTTCTTAGTGTCTTCTAACTCTTATTTATCCTTTTATGTTTCATCTAAGTCTGTTGTCAGAGGAAGTAAGAATCCAGAACAGGCCCAGGCTGGGTTTGTGAAATCTAAGCTTTTATATGTATTAAATTTGGACTTGAATAATGATATATGGGTCATCTCTTTTAAACCGCACATCTAAAAGCTCCACCTCACAGTTCCTCTGCGGGATTCTCCTGGAACCTGATTTATTCTTGTTATTGGCATTTCTTACCACTAGTCCAGCCCCTTTGCAATCTGAACAGTTAGTGGTTTCTTCAACTTAGCTTTGCTTTCCATTGAGACAATTGGTCATTTCAGCTGCCTTGAAATGGCCTGTTATTATGAACAGCTGTTGCCTTGTTGATGACTATAGATAATGTCACAGGACATGCGCCAGCTGTGGTGGGACATGTCCCATGTTTCTGTATAAGGTAGAGCGTAACTGACCGGAACTTCACAGGTCTATCCCATACCTGGAAATAGTAGTTAATCTGGAATACATATCATTTTCTTTTCTCAATTAGGATTGGGTTCAACTGGGAAATGCAGAAAAGTCTAGCAGCAGCTTCCATAAGACAGAATTTTATTTTGAAGTCACAGATTATAAGTGAGGTCTGGATGTGAGTGGCCCAGGGTCAAGCTGGACTGGTTAGTGATCCTGGAGGACCAGCCTCCTTCCATCTTTTCTCTTCATCACTGTCAACCCACAGCTCCTCACCTGCTGGTTCAAGAAGACTGTGAGCTTTGGCCACCATGTCCACACCTGAGTCGGGAGAAAGGGGGGATGAGGAGAAGTGCCTCTGTCCTCCCTCGGAACACACTTTGGGGAAGTCATACACTATGCCTCTGCTCACATTCTGTATAGCTGATAAACTTGGTCACAGATCCATAGCTAGGTGTAAGAAAAGACCTGGGGAAAGTAGATTTTATTTCAGCTAAAAACTGTGGGTATTTTCACTGGAAAAGGAATAGAGAACAGATGTGGAGGGACCACGGTTATCTCTTCTGCACATAGACAGGCTGAAGTTTATTTGAAATTAATTTTTTTTCTTTTACAAAAGAGACTAGCCAGACATTTTTTTATGTTCATTTTTCTTTTTTATTCATTTATTTTTATTTTTTTAATCCTCACCCCTATTTATTTTTTTAATTTGTTTATTTTAATTGTTGTTCAAGTACAGTTTTCTGTCTTTTACTCCCATCACATCCCACCCCCCCAGCCCTCCCCACCACCCCCCTTAGTTTGTGTCCATGTGTCCTTTATACTTGTTCCTGTAAACCCTTCCCCTTTTCCCCTGAAATCCCCTCCCCTCTCCCCTCTGGTCATTGTCAGGCTGTTCTCTATTTCAGTGTCTTTGGTTATACTTCGCTTGCTTGTTTGTTTTGTTGTTTAGGTTTCTGTTAAAGGTGAATTTTTGTTCATTTTTCTATTGGGAGAAATGTGCACGAAGGTTATTGACTACAGTGCAACCTTTTAGTTCTGTAATACAAGTAGAACCTGTAGAGTCCTTAGCATAAGTGTCTGGCACATAGTAGGTACTCGTAGTAGGTCGCTATTGCTATATCCCAAAAAGGTCTCTGAAGGCACAGTGACCGTGGTCTTTCATTGAGCCTGGGTATGTCAGCAGAAGTCTTCCAAAGCAGGGAACACCTAAACCGAACGCAGGGGAATTACTATGAGAAGAGAGATGGAAGGGAGAGCCAGGGGGACAAGAGGGCCTTTGGGGTCTCAGAGCCTGGAATTAAAGTCAACAGTCTAAGTTGTTCTCTCTGTTTTCCCCTCATCGCTCCCTGTCTCTCTCTGAATTCATTCTCTCCTCCCATAGGCAAACATTCTCTCACATCAGGGAACATTGCCAGCAGCATCCCCAGGATTTCCTGCTTCTAGCTACTCGCCCAGAAAAACAGGGAATTCTTTCCCCTAGTCCCAGATATAAAATTCCTAGGGGTGTACTCTGACCCAAATGTGGCTCCTTTTTCTGAACTAGCCACTGTAGCCAAGGGGTACCATGATTGGCCTATGCCACTACTGTTTCAAGAAATGAGGATTATTAACCAGACCAACAAGATAAAGAGGGGCAGTGTGAGAAAGAAGCCCGGACCTAGCAACCACAATCAACTTCTCTTCCTTTAACCTGCCCTATTATCAATGATACTTACCACCCGAATTTGTATTCACTAACCTTTTTGTCTGTTCATATTTTGTCTTCCTAACTAGAACATAAGGTCCATGAGAATGAAGTATTTATCAATTTTATAGAATGTTGTATTCCCAGCACCAGGACAGTGCCTGGCACATATTTGATGCTCAGTAAATATCCATGGAATATATAGCTGCCCCATCCAGAGTGTGGAGGGTGGAGATGGGTTATCAGGCTGGAAAAGTAGAACCTGGAAACCTTCCAGAATAGTGTTGAGACGCCTTATAAATCACAAAGGAAGCAGAAGATGTTGGGTGGTAAAGCAGAGGCATCTGGAGTTTCTCGGATACAGAAGTCATCCACCAACACTCGCTGGTTCTCATTATAGCTCACAAAAGGGAATGGGAAGAGGACAGATGAGTGAAATAACTCAAAAGTGTCATGGAAGCTGATTGTTCTCACCCCATTCATTCACACACTTTTACTGGAACAACTAGCAATTAGCACAGCGAACAGATTGGATTCTTCTTTATTGAATTCATTGGGGTGACATTGGTTAATATAATTATATGGATTTCAGGTGTACAGTTCTATAATGCATCATCTGTGTATTACATGGTGTTCACCTACAGAAGTCAGGTCTCCTTCCATCACCATTCATCCCCACTTTACCTTCTTCTGCCAACCCGCCAACCCATCCCCCTTCCCTCTTATAATCACTGTACTGTTGTCTGCATCTGAGGTTTTTTTCTTTGATTAATCCCTTTACCTTTTTCAACCAGCCTTCAATCCCCTTCCCTCTGACAGCTGTCAGCCTGTTCTTTTATATCTATGAGTCTATTTATATTTTTTCATTAGATTTCACTCATGTATAAATGAAATGATATGGTACTTGTCTTTCTCTGACTGGCTTATTTTACCTAGCATAATAATCTCCAGATTCCATCCATGCTGTTGAAAAGGTAAGATTTCCTTCATTTTTTCCAACCAAGTGGTATTCCATTGTGTAAATGTGCCACAGCTTTTTTTTTTTTTATCCATTCATCTACTGATGGACACTTGGGCTGCTTCCAAACCTTGCCTATTATGAATAATGCTGCAATGAACATATGGGTGCATATAGGTTTTTTGAATTAGTGTTTCGAGGGTTTTTTTTTTTTTTGGATAAATTTCCATAAGTGGAATTGCTGGGTCAAAAGGCAGTTCCATTTTTAGTTTTTTGAGGAAATTCCATACTGTTTTCCACAGTGGCTGCACCAGTCTGCACTCCCACCAACAGTGCATCAGGGTTTCCTCTTTCCCACATCCTTGACAGCACTTGTTTTCTGTTGACTTATGGATGATAGCCATCCTGACAGGTGTGAGGTGATATCTCATTGTGGTTTTAATTTGCATTTCTCTGATGATTATAATATGTATCATATCAGATGATTATGATATGTATCATATCAGAAAATGATATGTATTCCAGGTTAACTACTATTTCCAGGTATTGGATAGACCCATGAAGTTTAAGTCAGTTACACTCTACCTTATACAGAAATATGTTGAGCATCTGCTCATATGTCTATTGGCCATCTGTATGTCCTCTTTGGAGAAATTTTTATTTAGGTTCTTTGCATTTCTTAATTGGATTGTTTCATTTTTGGGAGGGTTGGTGTTGAGTTTTATAAGTTTTTTATAAAGTTTGGATATCAAAACCTTATCAGATGTATCAGTGAATATGTTTTCCCATTCAGTGGGTTGTCTTTCATTTTGTTGATGGTTTTCTTTGCTGTGAAAAAACTTTTGAGAAAAAATAAAGTGGGAGAAATCATGCTACCTGATATCAAACTAGATTAGAAGAAGGTCATTGTAATTAAAACAGCATGGAATCAGCATAAAAACAGGCATAGAGATCAATAATACAGAATAGAGAGCCCAGAAATAAACCCATATCTCTGCAGTCAATTAATATTTGACAAAGGAGACAAAAATATATAATAGGATAAAAATAGTCTATTCAATAAATGGTGTTGGGAAAGTTGGACAGATATGAGCAAAAAAAAAAATGAAAGTAGACCATCTTCTTGAACCATAAACAATAATAAACTCAAAATGGATTAATGGATTAAATGTTAGACTCAAAACCCATAAATATCCTAGAAGAAAACACAGGCAGTAAAATCTCGGACATTTCTCATAGCAGTATTTTTTTCTGATATATCACCTCAGGCAAGGGAAACAAAAGAAAAAATAAACAAATGGGACTTACACCAGATTGGAGTCTTATCTTTCTTCCCTGGCAGAATGCTGGCAGGCTTCTAGGTGAAAACATAAATGACATTACTGGACCCCGATAAGGAAGAATTTAAACTGTACTTCATATTGCTTTATATCTTCTGCTCTCTCTGTCAGGCTTAACTCTGGGTGACTTGATGGAATCCAGTACGATTGTCCATCTGGCTGTGTCTACCTCTTTATTTTTGGCTGAAGAACCAGATTCTTGCTTCATCCCAAGGTTCCACGGGACCAGCTGGGTCAAGGATGGCCATGGGTGGCCTCGTTTTCACTTTTCAAACTGGCCACACGGTTCAGCCTTCAGCTGTCACTTGAGCCAAGGTTTTATTCTTGGCTTGTTACACAGTCATGAACAGAAAGGCTTTTCTGTTTTTCTTTCTCATAACTAACTGTGAGAAAGAGCTGAAGTTCCAAGGACCATGTTGATTTTTCTTCCTTTCTCTTCCCCCATGGTCTGTAGAGTAGGGATGAGGGAAACATTGGGCCTTTGGGAGAGCCTTTCTGATATTATTTTCTTCAAGATCCAGCTTTGTGCTGCTACCCCAAGTACTTTATAAAATTTAGTCATTTTATATGACAAAAAAGTGCACATTTCGAGCGCTCACCATACTTCAGGCATTTTTCTGAATGCTTTTCGTATAGTAACACTTAACCCTCCCAGGAGTCGTGTGAAACTGATGTTGTTATTAGCCCCACTTTACAGATGAGAAAACTAAGCGTGGGCAAGGTAGCAGAACTCATCTAAGATCATGCAGCTGACAAGGGGTAGAGCCAGGATTTACACCCAGTCAGCCAGGCTTCTAAGACAAGCTGTTGACTTACTCTAAACTGCCCCAAACTGCCTGTCTTTACAAATATTTATAGTTTGGTGATCTGGGCATCAACAGCATTTAGTGAAGGGACGTTATCCCGGCTAGCACAGCCTTATCCGCAGAGTAAAGGGCCATGTCTAGTAGTAACTGATGGAGGAGATGTTGCTGATGGAGGGAGCTATAACTACACCAGAGGTGATCCAATGTTGTTAAGTTTCACCTTGGGATTTAAAGGCAGGGCCTGTGTTGGGATCACAGGTTTGTTGCTTGCTGTGTGGCTTTTTTCAGGTTACTACTGCTCTCTGATTCTTTTCTGTGAAGTGGGGACAGTGCTAACCACATCACTGGGGTGGGAGGGTATGCGAATTAAATAATAAAACATATAAAAAGCATTGAGCGTAGCCCCAGACATATAGTAACTGTTCAATAAAAATGATAGTTATTTTTAAGTATTTGGCTTACAATCTGTGGATAAATAATCCAAGATAATTATTTGCCTTTCTGGAGCAATTAAATATGAAACCATATCCAATTTAGATCTGTACTGAAGAAGTCATGAGTTCTTTTTCCAGGCTCGGCTTTTGTTCAAACCCTGGTTAACTTTTGACCTACAAGCAAACTACCTTAATTTCCATAATTGGAATTTCTGCCTTCCTCTGGAGAGTTGTGCGGGCTGCACTCACCCAGGCCATTTGAAAACCTGTTCCTCAGGGGCACAAATCAGGTCCTTAGCATGGAGACTGCAGGACTCTCCCCTCAACCCTGCCCTTCTGCTCTCTCCCCTTCCCTTCACTTGATGCAAAACCTGTGTGTGCCTTGTGAATTACAGCCATTCCGTCCCCTCCAAGTGCCTCCCACTGGGGATTGTGTCACAGGATCTGGATATAATTGATAGAAGCAGCCGGCAAAGGCGCTTCCTACAAAGGCATTGCCTCCCTTGGGGATATTAGCCAGCACAGATAGACAGTTTCCAAAATCTTGACTGTGGAGATGTTTTTTCCTCCCATTGGGATTGTGGAAGGGACTTTCCTGAGCATCCCAGGAAATCCACAGTGTGACATTCCAGTCTCTGCAGATGAGAACAATGTCACCCACAGCTCTGATTTGAAGCAGCCGTCTGGGGAAGATTAAATTGAGGTTTATCTTTGAGTGACCAGAGTTATTTTTGTTTTCGTCAGCCTGGACTATTGTAATTAATGCTAAGACACTGGCGGGAACAAGGCTTTTATTATAATACGAGGGTGAGGATGGCTTCGACTGACCTTTCTCCTGCTGGAATTTCAGTGTTTTAGTATGTGCTGCTTGCGCTGAAAAGAATTTATAATCACAGGCTGTCAAAGACAGCCATTGTTCTCACTGCTCTGAACATGTGGGTCAGCCACAAGTGCTTTCAGCTCCCCCAGCGCCAGGAGCTGGCTGAGAGCGAGAGCGTGCCTGGATTCTTCTGAGGCATCAGGAAAAGCTTTTTGCATATTTTTCATTGCTTTTTTTTTTTTTTTTTAACTTTTTGCCTCAGAAAGACAGCTCCCTTTCAGAGCAGGAATTTCCCTTCAAGGTAGCAGGAGATGGAAGCCCGCTGCTCCAGGATTTTACGGATCTGATTCTGTTGCAACAACAAATGCTGGGAGCATTTGCCAGATCGCATAAACAGGAGCAGTTGCACTGCTAAACTCGGGGCTCTGTCCCAGAACAGACATGCCGTTATGGATTCCGAAAGGCGGGTCAAGGTTAAGGTTTTAGTTTTCTGGTTTTTTGTTGTTTTCATCTACCATAGTATTCTTGTGAATTCATACTAGATGATCTTTGATTCTTCCTTCCTTTTTTCTTTTTAAAAAACATTATGGAGGAGGAGTTCCTGGGGATTGGGGATTTTTTTTTTTTACCCTAAAGTGTGTGATTTTCTGATTGGGAAAGTTGCAGCAGGGAAGGGTCGGAGAATGAAATGTTGACTTGTAGATGATAATTCATTCACTAACTGGTGGCCATAACCTGTCTGTACTGGTGCTAGCTGCAGGACCACGGAGGCTGATTTTCCTGAGATTGAAGGCTCAACGTCTGTTGCCGTAACGTCTGCAATTTTATTTTATTTCCGGACAGGAGACTGATGACATTGAGAGCCCTAAGCGTAGCATCCGAGACAGTGGTTACATCGACTGCTGGGACTCTGAGCGCAGTGACTCCCTGTCTCCCCCTCGGCACGGCAGAGATGATTCCTTCGACAGCCTGGATTCCTTTGGCTCCCGTTCCCGGCAGACACCTTCTCCAGATGTAGTCCTCAGGGGAAGCAGCGATGGTAGGTTGGAGCCTTAACAAACTGCACATCATAGAACAAGGGCTAAACATGAACAAGGGCTGCCTTGTCACCGGCCAAGGGGCTGGCAAGGCGGAACCTGGTAACTTAAAACTGGTAGGAGAGAAGCCTTTTAATGTTGCTTTTCACCATCCTTAGAATTTTGCTTGGCTTTGCTGGCAGTTCGTCTGAACATTGCCTCAGTGAGCATATCTCCTGGTGGAAAATGTGTGACATCATTTCTCCCTGCGTCTCGGTGAATCAAGACGCTGTGCAGACCATTAGCTCATTAAGTGTGCCGAAGGTTTATATCCTCTGGGTATGAGGAAGGGAAATGTTGGAGTGAGTACCACACTGTGTGAGGGAAAATGGATGGACTTCCAGCAAACTGGAAATGCAGTGCACACACCAAGGAAAATTCTGAAGCCTGGCGTTGTGAAACTTGAATTGTCACAACTTGGGCAGTGTTTGACAGGTATGCTGCCCAATCACTGACGAGAGCCAGGCAGGTGGCCGTTCGTGGACAGGGCATCACCTGGGCTGCCCATTCTGAGGCCGGCTTTGATTTAAATCCTGTGGATTTGGTTACCTGTAAGGAATGGTCACTTTTTCTTCATAAAAACAGATTGCCATGCAACCTGATATCAATTTAATGAACATTATCCAGAATCTGTTTACCTTAGTCTCTTGCACCTTCGTACTTTTTAGGAGGGGCTATGGCTTGGTTCTGCGTTGTATGAACTTGCAGAAAGACAGTAAGGCTGGTAGGGAATTTTTTGTTTGTATTTTAAATGCTAATTTCTTGATGCTAATATTTCTAGAGACTTAAAACTATTCTCTAAGATGAACATTATGTTCTATAGCTAAAATATGCCTTTCTGTTATAAAATTCTATGTTACTAAAGCATGTGGGTATTTAATGTGTCTAGGTTTTGAGTTCATTACCTAACTGCTAGTATCTCATTTAGTCCTCCTCACAGATTATGATATACTTACATAATATCTCACTTAGTCCCCTCACGGGGCTGTAAGATACTCCTTCTTATCCATATTTTCAATATGAACCCTAGAGAGGTTAAGTAATCATCCTAACATTGGCAAGTGACAAAAATTACTATCTGTAAGTAGTGTAACAGCCTCTAGAACTGCAAGTCCAAATTGTATACTCTTAAACTTAATTTACCCACACTCCTTTGTTTGCCTAATAGATTTTTTAAATTCTAGAATGTCCGAACTAATGCTTTTGTTTAGTACTTAAACGTCCCAACAAATAGATTAGCCTCAGGGCCACATAGTATGTGACTCCTAAAGAATTCCATGGTGCATTGTGAGGTGCTTGAAAAACATTTCTAAAATTTCATATGACCTCCAGTACCACCCACAGTTTTAGAAGTTACAGTGCCCAGTGTGTGATCTAAACTGAGCTTTAACATAACTAAAAGGTAAATTTACTTTTATAAAACCTATCTGAGCTAGACTATTTTATCCATATTATTATGATTGTTTTAAAAATTATCACTTTTCCTCATCTTGGTTCTTTATCATTGGTAATGTAACTCCTTCATTAATTCTGTTACCAGCTTCCAGGGGTTCGGTTTACAACGAGCCACATCCTGAAGGGATGGGAGATGGTGATCACTAATATTATAGTTGTACAGAGGCACAGTTTAGTTGGCAACAATTAAGATTGATAAGCCAGAGTCTTTTTACAAACTTTTTTTTCATCTAAAGACACATAAAATTGAGCTTCAGAAAACACCATCCATGAAAGAGCATCTGACACACAGATTTCACCAATCAGCCTGATACCTTCAGGCTCATGTTCTTGTAAACTAATCAAGACCTAATGAGGTTTTTAAAGCAACACATTTTTATGTGTGTCAGAAATTAGTATGATTTTATCCAAGTAGATGTTATATCTCCTTAGAGTTTATGGTATTTTTTTAAGTGCTGCTAATCAAGGAGATTGCTGGTCCTAATAAACTTTCAAATTTAGGAGAAATTTTTTTAAGTCTTGCAAACTTATTTCTTAGGACTCATAATCAATTAGGGAAAGTCTGACTATAAAATTCTCCAACTCTGCATTGAGTCAATATGGACAGCTTTTGCGCTATTATTATTGAGGCCCACTGATCCATTCAGGAGGACAGTCAAGAGCTGCCCTCAGCAGAGGTGCCACAGGGGCTTCCTGGCAGGGATGCTGTGGGTCCCCGGGGCAGTGCAGCCAGCCTGCCCTGCTAGGTGGGCGCCAGTCCCTCCCTTCCCTTCACCAGTATCCTCCTGGGGTGATAGGATGAGCTTCATTGAGGAGGAAATGCAAGAACTGCCACTCGGGTACCTTTAAAATTAAGAACATATTTTATAAATATGATGCATTTTGTTAAACCAGTACTCTCATCCTTTATATAAAAGATGAGTTATGGCAGAGAAATAAGGAGTGAGAGAAATTGAAGTGCTAGAAGAAGATTAAAGAACAGAGGGTTGGGGGTGTGTATGGCAAAGACATGGAAAAGAAAGAAAGACCCCCTATTTGCTGTAAGGGAGAGAAATGTAACCTTGTGGAAAAGAAGGATCAGATTTTGATAAATATTTTAAAAATTTTTAATAAGTAAAAAAGGTGGTCTGTTTGTGTGTTAAACAGCCTATTTTGAGACATTCACTCAGTATATTATGGATAATATATATTTTTTTAGATATTGTACATGAAGTTCATAGACTATAGGATTTTAAAATTGAGACAATTCTAATCTGTTACTAAGCCTTCACAGTTGACCAAAGAATGATTTTCTTTCATTCATTTATTCAACAAAATGCAGTACTTCCCCTATAAAAATTATCAGATGCTCTAAGCAGAGGATGTTTTTCCAAGAGAAGTTTATCCCACTGGAAGGAATGTTGGGCTGGGAGTCTGAAAAACAGACATTGGGGTCCCTGCCTGGTAATACCCAGCCTCAGAAAGGGAGTTCTCTTGGCCTCTCTGAGCCTCTGTTTCCACCTTTATAAAATGGAGACGATATTAAATCGGGAAACAAATCTAAGAGCTTGGCAAGGTATTTCCTTATAAAGCAATTCACAGGGCTCTAAACATTTTACTATGACACTGGGAGAGATGTACAGTATTTGATAAAGGACAGGATGGGAAGGGAGCTAAGTTACACATTAAAAACTAACAAGTAATGAACCAGTCAAAGCTTCAGAAGACTGGAAGCAAGTGGCATGAATAATTCATAAACTGAATATTTTATCTGCAACAATGAACAACTTGTTTATGGCCGGTGCCTTTAGCTTTTACAGTCCTTTTAAAAAGATTTTTAAATTTATTTTTTAGAGAGAAGGGAAGGGGGAGGGAAAGAAGGAGCAAAAAACATCCATCAGTTGCCTCTCGCACCCCCCCCCCCAGCTGGGGACCTGGCCCGAAACCCAGGCAGGTGCCCTGATTGGGAATCAAACCAGCAACCTTCCAGTTCCCAGGCCAGTGCTCAATCCACTAAGCCACACCAGCCACGGCTAACTTTTATAGTCTTTTAAAAGCCATTAAATCACTTCATCTCAAGGGCAAATCATTTCATTCTCATTTTATAGAAAAGGACAGCCTAGTGCATTAGACACAAGCCTGGGAGCCCACAGCTCATTATTGGCAGACCCAGAACTATTAGGACGTAATAAGTAGTCAGCATTTATTAAGCCCTTGCTGTGGGCCAAGTACCGTACCGATAATTTTAATGTGTCCGATCCTCCCCATAGCCCTATGAAGCAGACAGTACTGTTCTCTTCACTTTACCAGTTGGGAAATGGAGGCTCAAACTGGTTAGTAACAAATCAGAGCCTCATAGCTGCCCAGGGGCAGAGCACACCCTGAAGTGGGTCTGACTAAGGCCCTGCACACACTCTGCACTCTGCTGGGCCACCACATCTCTTTAACTCTTAGTTTAAGGTTCTCTTCGCAAGTGTAAATAGGTAATTTTCTATTTGGAGTTGAATAGCCTCTTCATGTTCTCATTGATTAAGAGTTTTTATCCAGTGTGAAAATGGCAGTTAGGTATAAATAGGAGTGTTTTAATGACAACTTCCTTCTATGGGTGTTAGAAATCAAGTGACATGAGACTCAGGAAACAAGGGTACAATATAATTCATCATGGGAGCTATTTCCAGCAGAACACTGATGTTGGCAACATTGAATCCCTTCACCTTGCCTAAAACACTCTTGGAACCAAACCAATTCTTTTCATTCGAGGACACCCACTGTGTGCAAAGACACTGCAGGAAGTTCTGTGAATCATATAAAACTCTGTTTGCAAAATGCAAGATACAAGGTGAAATGTAGAAAAGAAAAGAAAAGAATAGATTGTCGAGCCATAGGGTTCACAGGAAGGGCCCTGATTTAGAGGAATATGCATTTATCATAACTCAAACCGTTTCCTGGAAGGCAAACCCTTGGTTATAATCCAAATCAGCCACTTTTCTGAATTCGTGTTTTTCCTACATTGTAACTAATACTCTCCAGGTGTTTTATGGGTCAGTTAAAGGAACCTCAAAGACAAATGCTTTATAATTTTTATTTGTCAGAATAGCTAGCACAGTGTAAGACGTGGAACAACAGGTGCTCAATAAAAATTCTACTGGTTAATTAATTTATTTTTTCTTGTGAGAGCTGCAGAATCTAGGCTGGTGTGTTGTGCTATTGCACATGTGTCCCTAATTGTAACTCTCAGGTTTGGCTAGGATTACCTCTATTTTTTATTTTCAATAATTATTTATTCAACAATTTATTGGGGTGGCATTGGTTAATACAATTATATAGGTTTCAAGTGTACAGTTCTATCATACATCGTCTGTATATTGTATTATGTGTTCACCACCCAAAGTCAAGTCTCCTTCCATCACTATTTGTCCCCCCTTTACCCTCTTCTGCCTCCTCTGCCCCCTTTTTCCTGTGGCCATCACCATACTGTTGTCTGTGAGGTTTGGGGGCTTTTTTTTGTTTAATCCCTTCACCTTTTTAACTAGGCCCCCACCCCTGCCCCCAACAGCTATCAGTCTGTTCTCCATACCTATGAGTTTGTTTCTTTACCTCTATTTTTTTAATTTGAGGGTTTTTTTCCTGATTAAAGTTGAGAGCTTTTCCTAGAGTAGGCTCATTTGGACTGATACTTTAGATTTGTTAAGTGAGTAACCGAAGGAAGGAATCCCCAGAGCCCACAGATTTAACCACATCCCTAGTACCGCACACTTGCCTTCTGGACCTTTCCCGCTGGCCCGCACACGGCTCAGCACCCGGCCTCTCTTCCCCAGGGAGAGGAAGTGACTCTGAATCTGACTTGCCGCATCGGAAGCTGCCTGACGTGAAGAAGGATGACATGTCTGCCAGGCGGACTTCTCACGGTGAGCCGAAATCAGCAGTGCCTTTTAACCAGTACCTCCCGAACAAAAGCAATCAGACGGCCTACGTCCCCGCGCCCCTGCGAAAGAAGAAAGCAGAGCGAGAGGAATACCGGAAGAGCTGGAGCACCGCCACCTCGCCCCTGGGTGGGGAGAGGCCCTTCAGGTAAGGCCCGAGTGCTGCCCCCGGCCTGGCATGAACACGCGTGGTGTGGGACCCACAGCTCCCGGCACGCATTAGCTCAAGCAACTGTTTCAGACTCGGATGTAAGATCACAAATGGAGTGGGCAGGACAGATCTTTGGAGAGAGACTGTGATGGTAAGACGAGAAGCTTCATGAAGGCACCTAGAACAGTGCCTAGCACACAGTAGGTATTCAACAAACACTTGTGTAACAAGTGGATTTAAAAAAAAAACTGGTCCTGTTGATAGAATGTTGAGAACAGATTTGTTATCCATGTCCTTCTGTGCAGACTGCCCGACTCCTACTCCTATTAGATTAGGTACAGAAAGACTTGCCTTTGTGAAAAAAGACGTTTTCTATTGAGATCCATGCTAGTCTAGGTACAAGCTCAATTATGTAAGGGATGCATGGACCATGCTTCAGAATCTCATGTAGAAACTCCTGCTCAAAGGAAGATACATTGGGCTGGTACTCTCTGTACAGAAACAGTGTTTTTCCTTTTTCCTGATCTCTGATTATGTGTTTCTTCTTTCACTTATTCAGCAAGTATTTATTGAGCATCTACTATATACTAGGTGCTGTCCTTTAGGAATTGGGGACCCAATAGTAAGTAAGGTAGAGTCCCTGCCTTCAAGAACCTTATAGTCCAATAAAAGAAACTTGCAGTCCAGTCTAATACTTTCAGCAAAACCACCCTGATTACTGCATGTTCTTTTTCCTAATAGTCTACCTTTATTATCTATGATTTTCCATTGAACAAGCATTTTATTAAAAGTTTTAATTATTGGGGGGTGGGCTGGGATGGGAGTAAAAAACAGAAAACTGTACTTGAACAGCAATTAAATAAATTTTAAAAAAGTTTTAATTATTGAACAAAACATAAAGTTTACCATTCCAGCTGAAAGGGGTTTTGCCTTTCAAGAGCAATTTTAAAATAGCTCTTAATCAGTGTGGAGCTTATGATACATTGGATTAATTAACAAATGGCTATATTTAATTTTTGTCACATTGCCAGGATCATATTGCATGCTCTGACTTTTTTCTTAAGTGGAAAATAGTACCAGAATGACCAGAAGATGACCTGGGGTCTGCTCCCCAGGCCAGTCTGTTAGTGTGGTAAACCATATTGTCCAACTCACTAGCTGTCCCGAAACAATAGAGGAAGAGGGAAGCGAAGCGGGGTCTCCTTGTGAAGAGGAGGAACCGGCTGGCCAAATGGATCCTGATGGGAGGCCTTCTGATGGTGGGTTAGAATTATCGGCTGCCAGTGGTGAGGAGAAGCCTCCTCCAGAGGGGGCTGCGGTAGCACCAGCTCCCAGGTCTGAAGAAAAAGACGCTGCTGAAGTCCAAAAGCGCAGAAGGCTAGAGCAAGCTGGGATCAAGGTCATGCCAGCAGCACAGCGCTTTGCCAGGTTAGCTCTCCAGGCCAGCGGCTGTGTGCATGCCTGATGGGGTGGAATCTGTCTGGCGTGCTGGAGTTTCCCCCTCGTTGCCCTCCTTCCTGCTTGTTGTTGCACCGCTGTTCCCTACTTGGAGCAACTGGAAACCCCTGATAGTTTCTGCCCTCCAGTGTGTCTCTGCTTAAGTAGTTGGTTTTGTGAAATGAAGGTGAAGAGTAAGCTTCTTGCTGCTTGATTAGACCTTGTCTTAGTCAAGAATTGTGGTCAGTCATTTGCGGGCTGCAGGATGTACTTCGTAATAACGCTTTATTTTTCAATGGCTTATGGCCTGTTGATTTTCACACTACTCCTAAATGGCTCTTATCTTACTTTACACATCACTAGAAAATAGTTCCTTTGAAATAGGGAGCACTCTCTTTAGAAAGAGTGGCTGGCTTACAAAAATCCACTTACTTCCTTTGTCCCAAGGGAGTAGTAAGAAAGACGGGGTTTATTTGACTCCTTTTCTAAAGCATGTTGATTCAAAAACAAAGAATGGAGTAATTACTTCTCTTAATTGTAACAAAGGCACTGGTATACAGTCCCAATGGCTTCACGTTACATGTGGGATGGAGACTTTTAGCAGTCAAAGGCATTGAAAACTACAGTTCTACAGTTTTATGTGGTGTTTTGAGAAGCTGGTTAATTTTTCTCATAGAATAACCACAAAGATCCTAACAAATAATAGTGTGACCAAAATCTAACAAACTGAAATTCATAACAGTGTGATAATTGAAATTCCTTTGCCACTTGGCACCCCATTTAATCCTAAGAAATAGGTGGCGTACCCATTTTCAAGCAGAGTAAACTGAGGATCAGTGATAGTAAGTGACTTCCTGGTCTCAGAGCTGGTGACTGCTGACCTGGTGGCCAGATTGAGAGGCTGCGATCACCGTACCCCATCGGTCTCCCACACATTTAATGGAACATTTTCCATTTCTCTGATTCCATATGTGGTTATTGCTATAATCTAAGTCTTAATTGAAAGTTCCAGCATTGACTTCTGTGGATTTCATTCTAGAGTAACTTTGTATTGATTTAAAAAACGACATATTTCTTCCCTGTCTGTGGTATTCCACAGCTAAGTATGTCTGTCCTAAACATGCATGTGCTTCTAGGAAACTCGAACACAAAATCTGCTTGTGTTAAAAGCAACTCTCTGGGCTTCTGAAATAAGAAAAAGCAATGTGATAAAATCTTAAACACAAAAACAAATTTTGACTCAGAGACCTTGTCAGATACATATTTTTTCAACATAATTTGAGCATCTACTTGTATGAAAGATCAGGAGAGGTGCTGAGAATACAAAAGTGAAAAATATCCCCTTATCCTGCACCGTTTTTCAGACTGTCCCCATTTCTGTCTTCAGATCTAGGGCGCAGTGAGAGTGTACGTGATACAACTGAGAGTATGATTTTTTAAACATTAATCCTAATATCCTTGACACACATCTTCATTTAATAACTTCTATGAAGTCTGTAAGCTAAACTGTACCAAAGACACCATCATTTTTATTTTTTCTGTTTTATTTTTTTAATTGCCACTCTCTTGTTTTAAAAAAAGCTCATCTTTTTTAATGTCAATTGTTTACCTTTACCATAAACAATTAATTATTATTTTATCATAAACATGGTTTGTGATGAGGTAATATGATTACTTATCAATCATATTATGTATATTGGCCATTCAGGTTTATTCTCCCATAAATTGTCTCACATCCTTTGCCACTTTTATTTCTTTTTTAACAAAATTACTTTATTATGATAAAAATACTCAGCATGAGAATTCCCCTCTGGACGAAATTTTAACTGTACAGTTTAGTATCATTAACTATAGATACAATGCTGTACACCAGATCTCTAGAGTTTATTCTTCCCATTTAACTAAAAGTATGCTTGTTGATTAGCATACCGTTTTTCCCTCCCCCGCCCCTGGCAGCCACTGTTCCACCCTCTGATTCCAGGTATTCGACTCTTAGGCCCTTCGTATAAATAGAATTATGTAATACTTTTTCTTCTGTGACTAGCTTGTTTCATTTAGCATAATGTCTTCAAGGTTCGTCCACCTTGTCTCACATGGCAGAACTTCCTCCCTTTTTAAAGGCTGAGTAATGCAGCCCACACTTTCTGTCTTGGGTCATCGGTCGTCCGCAGAGCTCTGGTTGTACCCACACCGTGGCTGTCCTGAACAGCGCTGCAGCGAACAAGGGAGGGCCGATGTCTCTTCGGGATCCTGATTTCAGTTCTTTTGGATGAATACCCAGAATTGGGATTGCTGGGTCACATGGTAGTTCTCTTTTTAGGTTTTTTGAGAAACCTCCATATCATCTTTCGAGTGTTCAAGAAAGTGAGGGAAGACGAGTGGGGAGCGGCATTAAGCTAACTCAGCACACCCAGAAATCATGGCGGCGGCGGAGGGGAAAAAAGAGTTTGGACGGAGGCTGGAAATTCCACTTCAGTTACTGGGAGCTTTATTTTCTAACAAACCCCTGAAGTAACTTTGTAACAGCCTGCCTCTGTGGGCATGCCTAGCATCACGGTTAATTTACAAGTGTCATTCTGATTGATGAATATCATACTATGTGGTCATTTTTACTCCTGTTCATGTTTCCTGTTCTCTGGCTTAATTTTTACATATTTTTGCCCAACTCACATCTATTAGGCAGAAATTTGCATGTCAGTAAATGTCAGCAAACCCTAGATCTTTTGCTTTAACATTTAAAATTGGGTTCAGGAAAATTATGCCTATTCCTGGAAAATGTCCCTCATCGCAGTGGCGCACAGCTGTGCCAAATGCCCAGCATTCCTTTCTTAGACCGATTTTCAGCTGTGCGTGCTCTCAGAAAGGTCTGTATGTTCCGTGCCCCCAGCCTGACCTCTGTGTCTTTGTCACCCACTTTTTGTAACCCACAGCAGAGCTGAGAGTCACTCTCGGTTTATCTGCATTTGGGATCCTGCTTTTAAGGTGGCAGAAGAAAGTAACTTGAATAAAACACATGCCATGAAAAGGATTCTTGGTGTCTAGAAAATACAAATATAAAATATTTAAATATGCTGACCTCTCTTAAAACATTTTAACTTTGTCTCCTGCCTTGGCCATCCAGATGAATTCTGGCCACTGCATATTTGAACTCCGTCAGAGGCCCAGGATATTTCTTTCTCTCGTTTCTTAGCTGGGAAGGTCTGTGTTGGTAGAGATGGGTGAGAATGTTGAGGCAGGCAGGACTTCACTTTTTAGACCTTTTTTCCTGTTGATGCCACTTTTCCCCAAGTATTCTCAAACCCCTCCTTGTGTTATTTTTAACTCCATATATTAAGAGGTGGAAAGGTGCGTGGTATTCCCTTTTCACATGAGTTTAGAAGCCCAGGAGTCCCAAATATATTAGGAGGTATCTTAGCGTCCAGAGACAGAAAGTAGGACTTCTTCGTAAACCTGTGGAGTTTAATCTTAGAGTTGCCATTGAAATAAAAAGCACATAAGCCACTTTTTCTTCTCTGTTAGTTTATGATCAAGTTAGCTTAATTACCCCCCAAATATAGATTCCACTAAAGAAGCCAAGATTTCTGTTTTTCAGAGGATAAAACAAGAACCAAGATTCACTTCCCCTGAATTAAAATACTATGGAGATTTGAGTTCCCTGACTTGGTGTTTCCCATTGGAGAAGTAAACTTTTTCTGAACTGAATTATAGGTTTCACGTGATTGTACTCCTCTTCTAATTGTTTTCATATGTTTCAGCACTCAGCATTTTCGGCTAGTCTGGGGATCTTCTCAACCACATAGTAATTAATTACAGAGGGAAAAAAACCTCTGAGGAACAATAGACATTTCAGAAGTTTTTGGAGGAAGAGCAGACACAGCTAAGGGCCAGACACATGTTCCTCTCCGTCCATCCTCACCAGATGCCCGGGTCCCTGACTTGCTGCACAGACCCTTGGGGATCAGGGACCAGGCAGACACACAACTTGCACGAACTTTTGTGACTCTGGATGGAGCTGCCCTGTTTGGACTCTGGGTGAAGCTGGGATGTTTTCGGTGTTGCCCATGACATTCCCAGGAGGCCTAACAGGCTTTTCTGGAGAGCCCGGTTTCTTTGAATAGAACAACCTGACTGCCAGTCTGAGCTGGTTGCTTGTGTGTTGCCAAGTCAAAGGGAGTGAAAGAAAATGCCAGCTCTTCCTTAGTTTAAAGCATTATCTCATTCACTTTGAAATCTATAAGCCTCAGAAACTCTGAGACAAGAGCTTTTTCTTCCCCCTCACCTGCTTTGAGCCCATGATCTCTGCCACCAAGATAGCCTTCCTTGTTTTAGATGAAGCTGGACAAGGTTGCTAGGTTGGAGGCAGAGCCTGGCATTTCTCATTTCACGGTGACCGTGTTCTCTCTAAGGGAAACAGTGCGCTGAGCCCACAGGGATGCCCCTTCTTCCCGAAGCAACTCATTTATGAATGACTTAGAAAAAAATAAAAGTCCCAAAACTTTCCACGAATATCAAGCCAAACAGCCTGGGTCTTCCCCTTAAATTTATTCCATTTACCAAAGTTCAGATACCTGGAGCCAGAAACCTCAACATTCTCCTCGGCCAAGTGGGCACCAGAATTCTCATCTTGCATTTTGTTCTCATGGAAGTTAGTGGACCTGGCAGGTTCTAGCTGTTCAGAGAGTTGTAATGATTGAAAACTAAAGTAGATTGTACTGAAGCCTTACCATAGACTGCCCTAAAGGTCCTTCAAGGGAGAAAGAAAAGCTCCTTATAAAAAGTCACTTAAATATTTTGGTAACTAGACACCTGTGAACATAATTGCACAGATCTACCTGGTACATATGATGTATTGCTCCGTGGCCAACAGTGTGAGGCCAGAACTTGTGTCATTATTATTTGTTTCTTTCCCCAAGTCCTTGAGCCCTTTCTTTCCTTGAAGCTCTGAATTTACATGATTCAAGCGATTATCGGGAAACCAGTCTTTGTGACCAGTGGGCAGAGAGTGGCTTTAAGAAGCCAATGATATGGAAAACTTTCTTCACCCCCGTTTTTGAAGCCCACGTATCTGAATTGAGATCACTTCAAGGGAGTCCTGCCACGCTGAACACTTAGTGTAAAAAGAAACACCACAGGGAATTTTTGGTCTGGCTGGGCTCACATGATGCAAAAGGTACCAGACTCTCTCTGCTTAAATCGGCATCACAAATTGTCATGGCGGTTTGTCATGTTCTACTCCAAAGAATTCTGGCTGAGTTGCAGGAGATTGAAACCCAGGACCCAGACTGAAAATAGAAAGGATGCCACTCTTGGTCTTAAGAGGTTCGAGCCGAGGGGTCTGCTCCCACACTGGAACTGGAGTTGGATCAGCAGCGATGAGCAAATGAATGCGACAGCACTTCGCACACTGTAAAGTGCTGTGCAAGCATAGTGGGGCATGATGAGTTAGCTTTCTACTTTCACCGATCCTGGCTGAACATCGCTCTCTGTAAGCAGCGATGCAAATCATGACTCCATTCTGAGCACAACTCACGGGATCCTTTTATTTAGTAACCAAAATACTTCTCTTCTTTTCCCACAGTGATGATCATGCCTTCATTTTTGTGTGACGCTCTGCTTTCAGTGCTGTTTCTGCCCTGGTCCCCTGTTTAATGAGTAGCACAGTGGTTAAGAACAGGACCTCTGGAGCCTGCTTGGATTGGAATTTTAACTTCAGCACTAACACTTTGACCTTGGGCAAATTCCCCCACCCAATCTGAGTTGTCACTTCCTAAGACGGAGATGCTAGTAACATTAACATTGCAGGGTTAGTATTGGGGTTTAATGAATTTTTTTCTAAAATCAGAAAAAATTTTAGCACATAGCGTGCCCTCAGTAACTGTTAGTCACCTTCTTTGTCCTCATCAATGTGTTTTTTATAATTTTTACTGTATTTTTTCCATTGCCATTTAGTCTCTTTTACCCCCCATTCCCCCACAATCACTGCTGTCCGTGTTCGTGAGTCCTTTTTCTCTTTTTTTGATACTTTCACCTTCACCCCCTAACCTCCCCCCCTCCCCCACTAGCTGTCATCTGCTCTCCACCTCTGAGTCGGTCCCCATTTTCCTTATTAGTTCAGTTTGTTCAGTACAGTCCACATATGAGTGAAGTCACATGGTATTTGTCTTTCTCTGACTGGCTCATTTCACTTAGCATAATGATCTCCAGGTCCATCCGTGCTGTCACAAAGGGTAAAATTTTCTTCTTTTTTATGGCCAAGTCCTATTCCATTGTGTAAATGTCCCATAGCTGTTATATCCACTTGTCTATCAATGGACACTTGGGCTGTTTCCATATCTTACCTATTGTAAATAATGCTGCAACGTAGGAGCACTTATGTTCTTTCTAGTTAGTGTTTTGGGTTCCTTCCAGTATATTCCAGAAGTGGGATCAGTAGGTCAAAAGGCAGATCCTTTTTTAATTTTTTGAGGTATCTCCATACTGCTCTCAACATCAGCCAACACCTGTTGGTACTTGCCAAACACATCACACAGGAGGCAGGAAGGCGTGTGAGCACAGTGCAGGGGGAGCAGGCAGGACGCCGGGAGTCAGCGTGCAACGCAGAGGGCAGTTTCATATTTTACGACATTTATTTAGGGAGTAAAGCGCCACCAACTGCCTCCCAGTAACATGTTTCAAAATGTTCCTGAGAATGATAGCAGTGAGAAGGAGTTTTCTGGGCATGACTAATGACGACTCAGTTTTCCAAAAGTCAGATGGAGTGAGGGTCTGCTGTGGCCCAGAGACGATGACCTCCTGTGGAGCAGTGCGGGGCGGAGCAGCCAGCGGTGGGCCACCCGCTGACCAGAGAACACCGAATCTTGTTCCTCCCTTTACTCTTAGCCGGGCTAATTCCTCCTGTCTTCGTTTCCGAGATGTGTTGTCCTTTGAGAATAAAGAACTTATTCTTAATCCTCTCTCAGAAATCAGTTGCAAAGTAGGTGAACTTTCCTTAGAAATCAAAATAATTTTTATACTCATCATCTTTATGAACTGAGATGATAAATGATATTTTTACTGTTTTAACGCATATTTTTACTGTTTTAGAAACAAGGTGATCTTATGAGTAAGGGGGAGAGGAGTTTGTATGAATATCAGATAGGCAACAATCAACTGTATTCCCACCCTGCCTATCTCTAACAAAAACAACAACAAAAAAACGAAAATAAAGTGAAAAAGTCCTGATACTCTACCAGGAAATTACATTCCTCTAGGAATTTAAAGTTTTGGGCTCCCAAGATCTTTTGAAAATGAAACTAGTCCAAAGTAATAATGGTTAAGCCGTTCTGTCAAAATGTCTGACTTGGCATCTAGCATATGACTTGGCATCTAGCACATGACAAAGAGCCGTTGGTAGAGAGTCATGGGGGTAGAAGCTGAAAGAAAGGGTCTCAGATGAGGGGTGGGTGCAGGTCAGGGTAGTCCCTTCTGCCTTTAGTCCATCCTGTGAGTGGTCATAAGCGCTTCCAGATGTTTCAGATGAGTTCAGCTCTGCAGAAAGACCTCCCTCACACTTTGCAACCCGGTACACGTCCTAGATGTGCTGTCCCATGGCTGCCCTCCTTAGCGTTAGATCCACACCTGGGTGGCTCAGATTTCTGCCCTGTCAGTGAAAAACAAATTGGGTCCCTACTGGGTCCATTACTAAGGTGCTAGAGAAAAGTGAACGGCGAAAAGCTTCCTACTCTTCCAAATTTCATGAAAAGAATTGGAATTGCCACTTTCAGAGCCATTTAGGACCCTGCTTTTCTGATGCTGATGGACCCTGTAAATGAAATGAAATTTTAGTGTTGCTAATAGCTGGCTAAATTCAAGGTTTTAAAACCCACACTAACCATGATGCAACTGTGGACTAAAGTAGTAAACAGATGTCATCTGAACTAACGATACTGAGAAGACCTTTCACTAACAACACAGTTGCCTGTCTGGAGATGGGGATTTTAAATTTTTTTTTTCTGTCTGATCACATGTGGAGTTCCATTTAATTTTGCTCTATCAGTCAAAAGCAATTAAGTGATGAGAAAGAAGCCGTTCGCGATATTATCCTTCGGAACGAAAACCCTTTCCTGACCCACCAACATGGCAAAAATTCAGAGTCAGAAGAGGGAGTTGTGTGTCGACTGCCTGACCTTGAGAAAGACGACTTTGCTGCAAGGAGAGCCAGGATGAACCAGCCCAAGCCAATGGTGCCACTGAATCAACTCCTCTATGGGCCTTACCGGAAAAAAGAGCCAGAGAAATCAGGGAGCAGCAAACAACTTTCAAAGGGAATCTCAGAAAAGAAAAGTCTAGAATATAAAAGGTGTGCACTGTGTGTGTGGTGTGTAAGACAGAGAGAATGTAACTGAGTAACAGTGATTCACATCAGAGCCCTTCCCACTTACTCCTCTCTTTCCTGCCCCAGATGTGTATAGTTGGTAGTAGTGGTTTGTTCTGGAGCAGAACACCAGATGTTCAATGGCAGGGAGTGAAAAGACCATGTCCAAAACAGGCTTGGACTCACCACATAAACTTTGTTGTGCTGGATGCGGACCCATCACCACACTTGGGTGCTAGTGTCACAGACTGGCATTATTCGCACACATAGGTATGTGCCGTTGCTACCAGGGGGCAGCTGCCTCTCGAGGCTGCCCAGTCCGTTCTCAGCAGGCACAGAATAGATATTCCTTAGCTATGAGCTCTTCTCTCCTGTTAGCCCCTTTTAGATACTGGCAGGGAAAATAAGTGAGGCTGGCCCTTTGTTCCCTGACGCTAGCAAGGTCACATGTACATGTGATGATGGATACTTCTCATTTTTTAAAAAAATCCAAAAACATAGTACACTTGTACTGTTCATAGAAATTGTTTTTAAATGAGTTTCCTTCTCCCAACTGTTCTCCCATCCTCTTAATTTGGGAAAGGAAACATGTAGTAAAGTTGGATTTGGCCAGTGATTTTTATCCTCAGAGGGATATGATTTCATTTATCGTGTCAGGTCGCTACATTTTGTAGAGTTGAGTTGATCGGTCTGTGTTTTTTGCTTATATCAAAATCAGTTAGAGTTTGCATCTTTAATATTTCACTGCCATTTTTTTTGTGTATCACTTTAAGGGGTTTGCAAATTGACTGAACTGAGATTATAAATATATCAACTATGTATTATTACACAATGAAAATGCTTCTTTGGGCAGAGTGATTGAGGAGTTAGTGGTTTTTTGGTTTGTTTCTGTTTTTGTTTTAGGAAGTACCAGACACAAAACACCTGAAAGGCCCCCAGATGTAAAACAGGTATTAGAGTACGGAAGACCTGGTGTGGTTTTGTTGTAGGACACAGTATAGCTTCAGGAGGGGCAGTGGTTGCGGGTCTTGTCGGCATGCCTTGTGACCAACCGTCCTAGGAGGGCCTTGTGGGAGGGATCGGCTGTTGCCAGTGAAACAAAGACTTCTGGATAACTGACTGGCATCATGGCATATTGATAGGGATCAGCAACCTGAGTTAGGAAAAGGAGTAGCTTTTGTATCTTTCTTTTTTTCCTTTCTCCAGCATGCAATTTTAATTCCCATTTTTTCCAGCTCCATTGGTCTGTTGTCACCTGACTCTATGAGTAGGGACATGATTCTGGGTTGGGATAGCCTATGACCTCTCTAGAGGGCATCAGAGAACTGATGGAAAAAAGAATGCTCCTTGGTGGCTCTTTGCTATGCCCTTCCTTGACCTCCTTCCCCAAACTAGAAGTAAATAGAGAATTCTGTAGCCTTCCTATTTGCATAGACTCTACAAATATATAAAGGCATCCTGGTAACAAAAGAATACCTCTTGGTTTTCTGGGTGATATATTTTGAGAAAATAAATAGTCCTAGTATGTATAAGTTTGGGATTTTCTGTGTCAATAAGCATGTTTGGTTAGAAATTGACTTTTAATGTTAATGCAGATCAATGCCACAGCTTTAGTTTAAATTACAACATAGTCAACCTTAGGCATCAAATGCTCACTTCTTAGGAGAACAACTGAAAATATCAGTTTTAGCATCAATAAAAGTAAACAATTATTCACACAAGGATGAAATGGGTATCGAGTCTAGATCAAGGAAAAGAGGATATACTCTATTCATTCAAGTTTACATTAGCCAAACCTAATTCATGCTATCAGGAAGCAGGGACTGAGCTTGAACATCAAAACTTTCTGGCCAGAATGAACTTAAACGTACTTTCTCGTGGTTGTGGGTTTATGGCTGAGATGTTTTCATATGTGAACAACATTCCAGCTACCTCCAAACTAATCCTAGAATTTGGAGCAGGCGGAGCTCATTACTAACATTTTACTGGTGCAGTAAAAGACATTCCAGGAGGGCTCAGGGATTCAATTAGAAAACTTGAATTCATTATAGTAACTTGAATAGTGTGGGAACTGGGCATCATTACTGACAAACCAAATCTCATTACCATTCTTAAGAGTCTTTCAGTGAACCCTGGCTTCTTTTCCTAAACTAAACTAGAGACTGTCATTGGGTGGAAAAACTTCCTCCTCGTTACCGTATCAAAAGTTAAAGCAGGGGAAAGTACTCAAGGCTCCCGTGGACCGTGGACAGGCTGTTTTTTGAGAAAGGGAAAGGTACTTCCATCATTTCGTTCAGCCTCCAAATTTCCGTGCTTGACCACCTGTTTATCTGCTCCCCTTCCTTGAACTTTATTTTTCCGATGATGTCGGGGTCTGGATCACACTGACAGAAACCGGGGCCAAACGGAGGAGGTGAAGTCAGTAGTGACCTGTGTCACGCGGGCTCAAGAGAGTGGACCCGCAGAGGAGTGACTCAGGAAGGTGCCGGATATCCACAAGGATGACCTGGCGCAGCGGAGAATTCAGGGCAGCCTTGCTCCTCCCCGAGAGGCTCTGAGCTTCGTCAGCGGCTCCAACATCACGGAAGCTGACTTGGAGACGTGGGAGAGACTGAAACTGTCAGGGCAGACCAGGTGTGTGATGTTTTCCCCGGCAGTGGTGTCATTGAACTTTGAAGGAATCCAGTGCTTAGCCTTAGATCATTTTCTGTTTTCATGGCTGGAAATAGTTAATGCCTCTCAAAACACAGAGTGTATTCTGCATGAGTTGAGAGCTATGAACACAGAAGTTATAAGCCATGGGGATGGAAAACTTCCTCTTTAATTCAACCGACTGATTGTGAATGGTTATTTTGATAGGCTTGTTTGCTGTAAGGAATTTAAACTTAAATTTAAAGTATTTTAATATTTCATCATGCCTAAGATTTTTTATGCCCTCATTTATGATGTTGGAAGTAATATTTTTGAAAGCAATAGACACTGAAAGCCCTATTGACCCCTTTGATTGGTTAATGGGAAAGCAATTCTGCTCTAGCCATAGAAGTGTTTTTCATACACTTAGTACTTAAAAGAAAGAAAAGAGAAGACAAACCCCTTATTGACTTGTATTTGCCTTAGAAACCTTTGGAACTCATTTCTGGTTATAACTAGGGATGAAGAAGTTGAGCATGTCTGTGCCCCTGAGCCTTCACCAGAAATTAAAGCAGAAACTGCCATCCAGGATGACTTTGCCAGCCGCAAAGCACGGGCCTATAAGAAAGCTTCCGGCCCCAGGCAAAAGTTTGTGCACTTTGGACCAGTGACAGAGATAGATCAGCAAAAATGGAATCGGCTCAGCATTGGCAAGGCTGGGCCTCGGGAGGACACAGAAGGAGTCATCGGTCGTAAAAGCAAGATTCAAATGTACTCTGTGTCCTCCACCTCGGCAGCCACATCCGAGTTAAAGGAGAACCGAATGCTGAAGCCACAAAATGACGGCAGGTATTTTTTGCCAAACATGTGCGAGGAGGTCTGCATGGGAGTCACTGCTGCTTGTAAAGAGTTTGCCGAAGCTCGTTAAAGAAACCTCCAGAGAGGACGTAGTTTCGACAGGCTCTTTTGCTGGTTAACGGAAAAGTAATGCTAGCGTGTTGCTCTGCGGGGAGGCCTGCGATGCAGTGAAATGGCAGGCGTCCATCTTGGTTCTGTTGTCACCGGAATCACAGCCGGGAATGCCAATAATCTTGGCACATGACCCTTTTCCTTCAGCTGCATTAAGCACTATTTTATTAGCTGGAAATACTGAATGAACTCGATGGGATGTTTTAATGCCACCCCTAGTGTTTTCTTCTAAAGATATGTGATAAAAATCAGGTTTACCTATCGCTTCCCTCTTTGCTGTCCCACAGAGGGAGTTAAAAATAGTTATCAGTCCTGTAAGTTCAGAATTTGAACATCTAAGTAGACATGTAAAAAAGTAAAGGTCTCTTCCCTCCCCTACTTTAAAAAATTATGTGATGAATTTTGAATGAAAAGAGACCTCTCTCTTGGTGGAGTCTGTGGGTCAAGAGTTTCCTTGGATGACTCTCCACCCAACTTGTGAGGGTCACCTGGGAAGACTCCTTCTAGGCCTGTGACTGGCTCTCATCTCCACTGGAGGCTTCCAGCGTTAAATTCCCAAACTCTCTTTTGGGAATTCAGTTCTGTGAGCTGCTCTCTCTTCCATTAAACAGTTAGAAGGCTCTGGGTCTCCTGGAAATGCTCATTCCGCCTGCATGGTGGGATCAAAGTGGAACTCCATGACAGGAGGAGATGCTCAAGTCATTCTCCTTGGTCCTTGAAATCCAAAGGAAAGAGTTAGATGATCCATGACATACAGAGAGTTTCTTTGGTTCCATACTGTGGGTGACACCACGGAGGAGAGCAGGCCTTCAGTAGAAGTAACTCGCACACCAGAAGTGCACAGTTGGGGTTTCAGAAACTGATGGGACCTGGGATGGAAGAGTGGGAGTAAGCAATTAACGAGAAATGCATCTTTGAGACCTTGAGTACTGAAGGGGCCATCACTCAGCCCCATGGTGGAAGTCATGCCAACCGTGTTCCCCTTTTCTCAGGCCCTTGCCAGGGTTCACACTGCTTCAGCTCAACTGGCATATGTCATCTTTACTAACTGGCTTCTGGAATGAGAGCAACTGAACTCTCTTAATCTTTCAGTCTCCACAACTTTCACTGTCTTCCTTCATAACTCTATTTCCTTTTCTCTCTTGATACCATTGCTACTTGATTACCAACAGCGTAGTGAATTCTGGTGTGGACAACAACCGTGACAGGGTCTCACAGCGGGCTCCTGTGCAGGAGTCCCTGGAGGAGCCTGTCAGCGGTGCAGGAACACGCCCAGCAGGGACAGAGGAAGGTGAGGAGCAAGGTTTCCTCCCTCCCTGGGAGGTGAAGGATGACAGGTGGGGTCGAGGCCTCTGGTGTGAATTCTTCCCCTAGGAGTAAAGCTG